TTGTGTCTGATCAACTGGCGGTTTATATAACAATTGGGTTTTGTGGTGGACACAAACGATTTATTGACTTGCTGTGGTGTTGGGAATGAAATTGGAGACCACTTCGAGTGGATTTGTTTGGACAATATCTGTGCTTATGTTTTTGTGGCACTTTTATTTTGAAGAAATGTGAATATATTATTGGGAAATATATTTAGCACATTTTTAAGGTGTTAATTTTATGTGACACACTATAAATATTTCCATATATTTGGGGAATGGTTTAAGTGGAATTTTTAGTGCGCTTCAATAGCAATATTTATGACATATTGAAATTGAAAATAAATCTATTTACTGTCTCCATACTTTTAATATTTCTGGGATTTTCTGTTGCATAAATTTTGTACCTTCCAAATTAATATTATTTAAAGTAAAATATAAACTTTTTTTCTAGCGCTGAAATAATTTTGAGCAATGTTCAGAGTTTGTTGCTTGAGTCTTTTGTGATCCCTATTTGATTCCCATTAAATATTCTTTACAAATCGAAAAGTTGATTATTGATTAACCAAATTAATATATAGAATCTGTATTGTGTGTAAATGATGAGAATATCCGTTTACTAATGACTCAAATACCCAGCTTTTCGCAAGACAATGAAAAGTTCAATAAAAAATTAAAATTTCGTGACTGGAAATTTGAGTAGAAATTGCTTTCCATCTTAAGTGCATTAATGCACAAATATTTTGAGATAATTCCTTCTTATTTTTCCCCCTCTATGCTGTAGGCTGTACTTACATTCTCGCCAACAACACGCTGCTTGATCCATTCGTTCTCCAGGCTCGTCTCCAGCGACACGGAGTCCATGCAGCGTCTGCGGCAATAGTTCCTGGCCGTCAGCCAGTCCTCCTCAACGCCCTTCAACTGAGGGTCACGCCAAGAGAAGAAGTATCTAATAGATCACAAAATAAATAGGAACAGAAAGTGGGGGAACGTTTAGCTATAAGAATTTCCGCGACAAGAACTCTGACGCTCACCCCTTGCCATCGGGCGTCTTCTCGTGGATGATGCGCTGGGCGCACAGCTGGGGATTTGGGGGCTCCAGGCGACCGTTCTGGAACTGAGCAGAGCCCAGACCCAGTACACTCAACAAACACACTCCGGCGACAATGAAAGCTTTCATTTTCTCTGCTTCTTGTTCAACACTTTATCAAGACACGCACACGCACGCACAATTTTTGGGATATTCAACTGGTACACGCGACCGTTCGACCGTTCGACTAGCTCTGATCAACTGGGAATGACACAAACATTTTGTCAGCACACCGATTTATATATGGCCAAAGCCAGAGCCACACACTCCATTCGATTCGTTTCGGACACAGCCACAGAGAGTGAGAGACAGAAGAGAGTCATTGCCAGTCCCAATGTGGAGATGGAGAGGGTCTGGTTTTGGGAGTGTGGAAAATTTGTTGGCCGCTGCGTCTGCGTCTGCCTCTGGGCTCTGGGCTCTGCGTTGCATGCAATCTTGAATGTTAAGTGGTCGAAGCTGGATCGCATCGTTTTTGCACCACTTAGCTCTTTGAATGAGCTCCAATGGGTATGGATTGGCCTAACTCCCCATCTAATTAGCCACACAAATACGCCAGAGTCGCCTTCTTTTTTTTTTTTTTTGGCACAGCAAATACGTATTTGTATGGTGTGTGTTTGTCTTCAGACAATTTGCATAATTGAATGCATTTCGAGGCATTGTTTGGTGTGTGTTTCGTATTTGTTTTGTTTCAGAAATATGTGTGTATTTTACCATTGCTTTTGTCGTTTCGGTGGACTTTGTTGCATAATCCTGAAGCCTGAATTGTTGACCAGAAATTGATTTGGAATAAGAGTCGTAATGGAGTTTGCATGGGCTTCTCTGAAGGAGTTCTAGAAATCAAAGATAATCTTTTACTTATTTCTGAACATCTATAGGGTGTGGTTCGTACCCATTACAAGTGTTTCCAACCATTACATAATGCAAATACTGACATACATACTCATAAACAGCCAGAAGATAATACCTTCAGGCACATGCCATTGCATAAGCATAAGAAATGATGCCAAACCCATCTACATTACTCGTCTTTTCTCCCGAAAGCCGCTTCAGTCTCCGCCACAGATTTGGAGCCCGATCAAGGTCATAAGCGTGGAGTACGAAAATTTCACCAGTGGAAAGTGAAGAGCAAACCCAAGCCCAATTCACGCATTTCAACATGATTGCCCCGATCAGTGGGTCCGTCCACTTCTTTGCAGCTTCAACTCACGTGCGGCAGAGCATGTCGGCTCCACCAACAGCAACAATCTCCATCTCCTGCTCCCTCTTTGTCTCTGTCTCTTACTGTTGCTGTGTGGCTGTAAGATTTGTAAGATGTTATTTTATGACAATCGGTAAAACGGCAAAAGTTACACGAAGGCAGGTGCCGCTCATTACCTTACCTGACACTTCTCCGGGGCATCTCTTGATGCGGATTATGCTCCGCTAAGTCGCAGCCCCGCCCATGTTTGTGCATGATTTTTTGAGGAATTTCGGCTGAACTTTACTTTTCATGAGTGTTGGCTTATATATTTTTTTGGCAAAGGGTTTCGTGGAAGTGTTTTTTGAGCTGCAAGGAAACGTTTAAGGTTCAAGTGGGAACATTTTAGGTTTAGACATGATTTCTTAACTCAAAAATAAATAAATAACCGATTCAAATAATTCGCATTTTGCATTCAATTTCAATTTCAAAATCTTGTCAAATATTTTCCCACTATTTTCAAGGTACAAATTTCGTTATTTTACATTTATTAATTCCCGGCAGTAGTTTATCATTGAGAAATTCCAAATATTAAATTTCAAATTCAAATTGCTTTACGTGCATTTGCTTGCAGCTCAAACAAAAACAACAACAAACAACAAATAATGAAAATGGTAAAAAATTAGGCAATCCATTTAAAATTTTAGACACGTCTTCAAATAGTTTATATTTTTGTTTTGAGGTAAACATAATTTATTTAATTTTGCTGTGAACTTTTGGTGTATTACATGATTTCCTCGGGTCACTTTGGAACATCATCAACATATAATGGTTATTTCTGTGGGCATATTTATGTGATAAGGAACTGGGAACTGGGTCCAACTGTCAATATATCAAGAGCTGCTGCAAAGCCTATTCAAAAATTACCGCATCGCAAACAGACACATTTACGCAATGGGTTCCCAGACGGGGGACGGGACTGGCACTGAAGCTGAGGCTGCGGCTGCGGCTGGGACAAAAATGTAGATGGAGACGAGACTGTGCTGTGATGTGCTGTGCTGTTTTGGGGACTGGGCCTGGCCAATTTGTCGATGAGTTGGGTAAATATTAAAGGAGAAAGTGCCGAAGCTGTCGCTTGGTTGCTTGGGTTGTTCGTTGTTTTTCATATTCGAAAATATTTTTGCACAAGTTACATATTGTTTAATTATTTGCACAAAAAGAGAGTGAGTTCAGGTGCAGTTGTCCCAATTTCGACAAGTGTCGATCATTTATGCAAACATTTTGCTCAGTAATAGCTAGTTACTTATGCAAAAACCAATTTCAATTTTGTTTATTCGTATGGATTTCCCCCCAAAATGTTTGTGCTCAATGTCAGTTTTGGGCTGACCAAACCTGAAAAACTAAATTATCCGGCCTGGCAACAACAACAGCTCACACAATTTATTATTTATGTCAGCTGCAATATTCCATTTAAAAAAAAATTGTGTAATTAAAGTTTGCTTTATGCTTGAGCCGTGATATGGTTTCAAATATTTATATTGCTTGTTTATTTTAGCATTATTTGGTATTGGATTAATGCAAATTGTGATTTTGGGTATAGGAAATACAGCAAAGATTTGGGTGAACCTGCTGACCCAGAGACCTTGTTCAAAAGAGGAAATAAAACAAAGATTATTGGGGAATAAAGTTTAAAATTAGCCATCCCCATGCCTAGAAATATTCTAGAATGGGAATTTAATCCCCAAAAAATTGGTGTTTATTAGTTGGCAATATTTTACTCACGTACTCGACTTTTGAAGGCCAAGGCTGTTGATATAATTTGAACTTTGGTTTTGGCACCTGACCAGACCGCATCACGGATTCAACGCCAGCCGCCGGCGGCGCCATGCCGTCACAAATTTCTGCTGTTGCTTGAATTCCTAAATGAGCGTGGCACATATTTTAATTACAATGTTGCAGCAATATGCTAAAGCTCCTTATGCTCTGCCAAAAAGGAAAAATAAAATGGTGTAACGCATTGTTCCAGAAGCATTTTGGAATGGCCGATTTCGTATGAGTCTTTTGTTTTTGGTCAACTTTTTGCGAAGGTGTCTGCCTACAGGCGGACGTGTAGACGTCTACAGTAAGCAGCCCATAGGAGTACATTAATTGCATTTCAAATAGGTTTTGCGATTCCGTTGGCCTTGGGGCGGTGGCACGTGATATTTTAAGCGCTGGACATCTTTATGATGACGCTCGCTTGGTTTAATTGCAAATATCCTCAGTTAACATCAATAAATCTCGGATGTCCATCCACAAGGAGGGTTACTGTCCACTCCCAATTGAAATTTATTTGCATATTACTCTACGATTTAAATGCAAATTGCATTCATTTTTAGCGGTATGGCAACATGGACAAGCGCTGCCACATCTGTCGATTGCCTTGCGTATATATCGAAATAAAGATTCAGTCTAGTCTATATGGTGCAATACCGAAAGGGGTGGCAAGTGTCACAACTATTATTTTAGTTTTAACCTTCTTTTGCAATCAATCCAATAAAAATAAGTAATTTGATTTGAGTAAAAGAACTGTTTTAACGCTCAGAGTCCTCACCGTCTAGTAATATTAAATAGAAGATCAAAGTCGAGGAAAATTATTTAAGAATTACGGATATTTACAGTATATTTTGAAAATTGAAAAGTATAATTTGGTATATTTTCGAGGCTCCGACGGTATATTTTATCGATAGTTCCGCGGTCACACTGAAGCCTGGTTTTTTTTTCGCTATATTTCATTTTATCGAAAAAAATTACTTAAATTTCATATTAAACAAAGTAAGCATTTATAAAAGCATAAGTGGAAAGTAAGAGTTAGTTAACATTTCGTTTGCACATCAGGTAAAAGCAAAATGGGACGACGTTGCTGCGTAGCCAAGTGCCCGTCGACGTCGCGTCTCCTGGAGCACCACGGCGTCACATATCACTCGTTTCCGCTTGACCCGATTATCCGGACCATTTGGATCAAGAACTCGCGCATCAGCCTGGACAGGCAGATTACGAAGAGCGTTCTGGTGTGTTCGCGCCATTTTCGACGAGTCGATTTCAATACCATACGCAATGGGAAATATTTGCTGAAGCCGCGCGTCTTTCCCACGGTTTTTCCATGGGGGAAAATGGATGCCGCTGAAATTGAGGCCGATCATCGTGCTCTGCAGCAGGTCAATGTGGATGGTACAGCCGCTCCAGGCACTGTCAGTAGTTCCGGTAACGAGGATGTCATCAAGGCAACAGTGGACCAAATTGTTTCGCAAATCATGGCCGAGTCGGCGGAGCGTAATGCAACGGCAGCTGTCGAGGCAGACGTCAGTGCGGATAAGGAGATGGAAGTCGCTAAAGTAGCCAAAGTAGCCCAAGGGGGAGCCGGAGAAGCTAAGATCGCGGTCAAAGAGAGTAAATCGACGGCAGAGGATTCTGCCAAAACTCCGCCAAATGAAGGCGAACCAGCAGCAGCTGCTGAACCAAGTACAGACTCTACGCAGTCTTCCACAAGCAACCAACCGAAATACAGCATGCCCCATAATTTGATAATTGGAGCACGAGTTGAGGCCAAAAGCGTGGATGGCTCGTGGCTGAACGCTCGCATTGTGGAGGTCAATGAAGCGGAGCAAACGCTGCTCATCCGCTTCGAGCGGAACCATAAGATAAAGGTGATGCCCTCGACCAGCGGCTCTTATCAGGAGTGGATGGCCATCACATCGGAGCGCGTCCGACAACGCGTCAGAAACCCAGTTCTACCCGTGTTCGAATTGGAAGAGAAATGCATGGCACGCTGGTCGGGACCGCGTAAGTTTCCGGGCACCATCAAGAAGCTGCTGGGCCACGACACCTACGAGGTGCTCTTTGACGATGGCTACTCCAAGAACGTGCGTGCCGTTCACATGAACAAGCTGCCCAAGCCAGCTGACACTGAAGAGGGGCAGGAAAATGATGCAGCCAAAGCGACGGCCGTGAAGAGGTCAAGCACTGGCTCTGCCAATGGCAGTGGTTCCTCGAGCAGCAAGAAGAGCAAGACTTCACAGCGCAAGGATTGGCCACTGCTCGACATGTCTAGCTTGGATTTGGGTAAGTGTGAATCCAATAGTAAGAGATCCTTAACTATCTTGATCTTTTGATCTGCAGATGCTCTAGGCTTGCCGGAGATACCTCACGATGGGGAATGGACGTGCCACTGGGTGAACGATCAGCCGATTGGCACCGAAGGTTTTCTAATTGTAGGCGAACATCAGAAGCCCACGGTGATTGTGGAGGACTGGCGTCTGCCCCCCGGCTGGATCAAGCACATGTATCAACGCTCGAATGTGCTTGGAAAGTGGGATGTCATTCTGGTCTCGCCCAGCGGCAAACGATTCCGCTCAAAGTCGGATCTAAAAGTGTTTCTCGAGTCGCAGGATTGTGTCTACAATCCGGATGTGTATGACTTTAGCATTCATCGCCGTCGCGCAAAGGACATCAATGCTTATGTGTACACCGGGGACTACAGTCCACAGCCGCCACACAAGCCAAAGACATTGAATGTATCCGCGTTGGACACCAGCATGGACCAGAGCAACACATCATTGCCAGATGTGCCCTCGACACCCGCGGCAGGGTCAGCAGCTGCTGGAACGGGCCGTACAGAGGACGGTCAGTTTAGGGCTACACCCGTTTGCACACTTATGCCACCAGCAGACCTGATGTCGCCAGAGACACAGCACGCAGATGACGGCCATCCAACCGCTGATATGCCAGAAGCCACTGTGGATGATCAGGGCACAGTTCTGGTCGAGAATGGTTATGGTTCGTATAGAATAACCCATCAGTATTCCCTCCTTAACGACACTTTGATTGTTTAGCTTTCATTGGCGGCCTGAAAGTTTTCATCGTGGATAATTTGTTCGTTTGCCCGGGCGAGGGATGCGGCAAAACGTATCGCAAGGAAGATGTTCTGCTTATACACATCCGTCACTACCACAAGGAGTTTGCCGAGTGAGTTTAATTTTATGATTTCACCACAAGGCAGAAATTTTAACCAAGTTCTCGTTCCACAGATATGTCAGCCACTGTCCGAAGATGCAGGAACTGGCTGTTAAGCGGACCCATGCCTCTTCCATTGAACAGGGCGAGGCGGTGCCCAAGAATCAAATACCCAATCAGCAGTTCTTTGCCAAGATGCATCAGCAGGATATGCAGCAAAAGCGAGCATTTAAGCCCCAGGGAACGACACCAGGATCGACACCGGTGGCGACACCATCACCTAAAACTCCAGGGACTCCAACGGGTGTTTCACCCACTAAATCGCAGGCCTCGCCCGTTGTAGACAAACCGACCACGCCCTTGCCAGCAACAGAGAACGCTGCAACCCCAGAGACTCTCGCTACTGCAGATGGTGCTGCAACAGTCACCTCTCCAGTGGGGCCGCCGGACTCGCCACTTGGCCGTTTAAGCAAGCGACCACGTTTTTCGTCCTTAAGACGTTCGTCTGGATCCCGCAAGAGCAATCGCCAGCGCTCACGGCGTCGCCCTGCCCATCCAAGCACTGCTGACCCAGACTCCGAGGAGACTCATCAATCTTTAAACACGCCTACTCTGGAAGGTCGCCCCGACCCCAAGAAACGTCGATTGCTGGCGGGAACAACGCCCAGCAGCTCATCAGCCGCAGCGGACACTGCAGTATCGACACCCTCATCCAACGATCAGGCAGACATCAACGCGGCAGTGGCTCCGCCGCTGTCGGAGACACTTGGCAAGGCGCCGCAGTACATCAATGAGAATGGACAACTGATTCGGATTGTCCGCATGCGTCAGGAGGAGATCATCAATTGCATCTGTGAGTACGGCGAGGAGGATGGTCTGATGATCCAGTGCGAGCTTTGCCTGAGCTGGCAGCATGGCGGCTGCAATGGCATTGTTAATGAGTCGCAGGTGCCGGACAAGTATGTCTGCTACATCTGCCGCAATCCCCCGCGGGTGCGCAAGTCGATGCGCTACAAACACGATCAGGAGTGGCTGTTCGATGGCAAGCTGCCAGTGGCCGGGTATCACACAACGAATCCAATGACGGGCAAGCAGTCTGAGCTGCTCAAGCGCTCGCACACGCTCACTGGCAATCTGCTGGATGCCAAGCGCGCGATGCACTCGCTGCGGGTGAAGATGAACATTTCCCGCAATCGCTGTCATCCCAAGCTGTATCTGTGGGCCAAGAGGTGGGATGAGGACCAGGGTGATGCTTTAGCGACACCATCGAAGCGTCCAAAGCCAGAGCAACCTGGCTTCCCCCATGTCCCACAACCCGAGGCCGCCATCGATCCCGAGGAGTGTCAGTTTCGCTTAATGGAGCATGTTAAAGTGCAGCAATCCCTGGTCCTGAAACGACTCAACGAAATCGAAGCCGAAGTGGATGGTGAGTGCATGGCAATGTTTAAATACAGCAAACAATAACAACATCCCTTTTCAGAGCTAGAGAACGAAGATTTCCTTAATGATCTTAAGAACGCAGACATCTCGGTGACAAAAGAGGCCGTGGCCACCTTTGTCAAAGAGCTGGAGACTTTGAAGCGTTTGGCTCGTCTCAACTATGTCGCCAATGAGAAAGAAAAGGAAGCGGCCAATTCAACAGCTTAAGATTTGTATTTTTAAAGGATTGATAAATAAGAGATCCAGGAGAAGCCTCTTTGTTTTATCTCTCGCTCTCTGTGAGACTACAATTAAGTTACAACTTAACTTGCATTCAAAATAAATGTTAAACTTAATCGTACACCTACAAGTGTCAATTACACGGTCTATGGTTCCCCGCTCAATCCATTATACATTAAGAGAACGTGCATGTCAAGGAAATACCATGGCATTCTGTTTGCGACTAACGCTCCGCCATGGCCTATTTGCTTACTCTCATTGCGATATGTTTTTTCTCTTGTGTAAATTCAGAGGACATAAGCAATGATATAGGTTTAACCACAAAGGTAGAAAGTTCTACGGCTCTGAATGGTGAGGACACGGAGAATGTCCCGTCTCGGTTTCCCTACATTGTGTCCATACAGGAGAACACCAAAGGATACTACAAACATCTCTGCGGTGGAGCCATCATCGATGTTCAATTCGTGTTGACTGCTGCGCATTGCGTTAAATATCCCAAGCCCCTCGATCCTAAAAAATTGTTTGTCGTAGGTGGCTCCAATACGTTAAACAACAACAATGAGACACGCTTCGGAGTTATCGGGATGAAGGTACATCCGAAATTCAAGCTGCTCCACGGACATGACATTGTCTTGCTGCGCGTGAAGCCGAAATTCCAGTTTGATAATGTTCGATTTGGTGAAATTAATTACAAAGTAATTAGACGAGGTGGCGGCATAAGTGCCACATTCTTAGGCTGGGGCCGTATGAAACGGGGCGACAAAAAGGATCTGGATTTGGTACCCTTTGAGACCATCAATGACAAAGTTTGCCTGCAGAAGCACAAGTTTGTTTTTCTCACTAAATCAGAGATCTGTGCCATGCACATGGGAGCTACACGTGGTGCCTGTGATGTGAGTAAAACAACATAAAAATTGTTAAATAGCAGGGAAAATGTATTCGTATCTCATTACAGGGCGATTCTGGTGGACCCTTGGTGGATGTTAACAAACAATTCCTGTACGGCTTGCTTTCCTATGGCAGAAAAGCTTGTCAGAAGGGACAACCTTATGCATTTACCCGCATCAGCATGTATGGGAATTGGATAAGAGATGAAATGAATGCAATGATTATGCAGTAGTAGTGAAATTTGATTTGCCGCGCAAATAAAAACAGTGCTGCAAGGGCTTACGATGCAACAATAATTTGTCTTATATAAATATCGACACCAGCAACGGCAGAAACATGCTACATAGAAAGTAGCTAAAGAGGTTAAAAACATATCACCCTATCTTAAAGCCATTTTAAATGTTTAAAAGCATAAAATAATGGAAATAGGGTATACAAAAGAACGGTTGACAAGCAACAAGTAGGCGAACTAAGTAATCAATTACGTACGTACGTAACACTTACGCTTCGTTAAGTAACGTTACGTTCTGCGTTTAATAAATTGAAAATTGTTTTGTAAACAATAAAATAAGAGGATATCATAAAAACTAGCCAGTTTTGTGGAGGATTGGTTCATCAATTAGATAAAATTATATTTTTTGTGCAGAGAGTGCCAACTAGCTAGTAAAATTAAATGGTATACTAAAATCGATGAAAATGTATTCCTGGATTCGGCAAAACAAGAAATTATATCTCGGTATATTGTTGAGGGACTTGCGGTATATTTTATCGATAGGACCGCGGTTAAAGCTCTGAAAAAAAAACACATCCAATTTCGCTGTAGCGAAACAAACAAACAACAATTGGATATAAATTAAATATTGGGACATAATAATTGTTAGTCTGTGAGTAACTGCGACTGTTAAACAGACATGGACAGTGTGTGGACTAGAATTTACCATTATTTTCGCCCTCTCAGATACAGCGCCATGACGGACCCGGCACCGCCAACAAATTGTGATGAGGCGATTGCCAAGCTGAAGGAATTTGGCTATGCATTCGATGAAGGTGAGTGGAATAGCAAATTGAAGATACCCATTAACTACAATCGTTTCTGCGTAGGTGGTGTACTACGTCAGATTGATCCTGCCACTGGGAAACCGGGCAAGGAGCCGTACATCTACGACATTAATGATGATGCCGACGACAACGAGAAGCATTATCAGAATCTCGCAGAGGTACGCGTCCCAATAGATAATTCAATGCATGTTAATTACAATTGCATGATAACCCTAGCAAATACCAAACATTATCTATGCGCTGCTGGAGAAGAGTGGCCTAAGTCGCACCTACATACCCTTTGGCAAGCCTCCAGATCGCTCGTCCTTCGTGTACTCCCAACCAGCGAAGTTGGCGCAGTCTAAGAAATTACTCGTGCTCATTCATGGCAGCGGAGAAGTCCGAGCAGGCCAATGGGCCAGAAGGTATGTAGTTCAGTGCATTGATTAAATGTTATGGGGGAAAATACCAAAGCTCCATATTGGATGCCGATAAGTAAATTAAGCCCTTAGGGAGAGCAGCCATACAAAACCATAAAATAAATATAGTATAACTTAGGTATAACTTCCACTTATGCACATTTTCACAGCCTTATCATCAACAATTCTTTGGATCATGGATCTCAGATGCCCTACATACGAAAGGCACAGAAACTGGGCTATGATATCCTTATCACCAATACAAATGATTGCAAACGGTTCTACAATGGCAAAGAGCATCCGATTAAGGGAGTGGAGACCTCCACAGAGCATGCCACGTACGTGTGGAAAAATATTGTGTTGCCCTCGGATCCAGAGAGTGTGGCCATAGTGGCACACAGCTATGGAGGCTATGTGACAATCGATTTGGTAATATTCTATAGATGAAACTACCTTCAATGCATTTTAATTTAAATATATTTATTCTGTTCAGGTGAATAACTTTTTGGACTTCTTTAAAGAGAAGGTCTTTGCCATCGCTCTCACCGATGCGGTTATTGGCAGACCTCAGTCCAACTGCAAGAATTACCTACAAGATGTGACCTGTGATTGGGTCACAAGCAAATCTCCGTTGGACACGCCAGTGTCCTCATTAGGCGATAATATACGACGCGTTTCGGCCGGTCATACAAAGCATGAATGGACCTCCTACTCGGCCATTGATTCGGTCTATAAATTCTTTGAGGAAAAGTATGCACAACGTACAAATGACAAGAAGACGTCCCCATAATAACACGAAGCATTTTTATATTTCCTATATACGAAAATACATAGAAGTATATCTTGAAGAAGTGAATATAAATTATATTTTACCGCCGGACACTTATCCCTTTTCTCTAAGGACAAACACAACTATCGATTTGTAATGCATAAATCAAGCAAACGCACACTGTCCACTGTCCATCCGCTTCAATGTGTCACTAACACTGTATATCAGGGCAATTTAATTTGATTTTCGGCACTTTGGCACATTCCGTGTGAGTTAATCATATTGATGGCCTCTGATGTATTGCTCTCGATAAAACAAAAGTCTCCCGCATGGCTCATCCACAGCGACCACAAAAAAGCCATCGAACCAAAGCAAATTCCCCAAAGGACAGACGGATAAGGAAGGGCTGTCTCAGCTTGGGCAGTTGCATCATACATAGTGACGGGGTTGCCCTAGCCCCCGGGAGCCCATCTTCCATGGGCTATAGTTACCCCTGGTCTCGGACACATCGTTTAACTAAAGTGCGTCATAAAAAATGACTTGACAGGGTTTGATTTGGCTTGGCAAGTTGGGTAAACAAAATATTGATAGATAAGCATTGAGTTCTGTTGATGAATGCTACAAGATAAAGTGTTTGTCTTGAATGTATTTTTGGAACTGTGTGAGAACTGAGTGGAGTGGGTCTTAAAACTGTGATATGCTCTTTTTATTCCACATAGTAAGTATATAGGAATATTAAATTAGAATAAGGGAATAATTTTCAGAAGACGAAAAAACGTATAAGCTGACAAATTAGTAGTCGGAATACACACTGTGGAGGATCCGTATTAAAGTTCTAAAACGGAGAACCAGTCAGAAAGTCACACACCAACCCATCTTACTGACACCCGAATTCGAATTCTCAGCAGGAAGCGTATCCGAATCCGTTACAGAAGAAAGTACTTAAAATCATAAAAAAAGATCACAAATGTAAAACGTTAAGAAAAATTGTCTTTTTCCTGCTTTATATGAAATCAAATACCCCACTCCATTAGGACATACAAATTGTCAGGTACTCAACTGATTAATTATGCACAAACCATCTTAATCCCCTTTGTGCAACTTTAAAGACTCTGTCTTTCTGCACATTCACCTTTACGCAGAGGTAGAGACTTCTTTCTTTTGGCAGGCTCACAAAAAGTGCAACCAAAGCGGTGGAGAGTGAGGGCGAGCCGTTTGTCTTTAGCATTAAAACGAACTTAATACCCACAAAGTGAACTGGGGGCCCCCAGACCCCAGAAGGCAGACCAAAAGCAACGGAGAAGAGACAGCGAAACGGTTGGCTGAATGGATTGTGGTGGGGCTTGGGAGGTGGCTAAAACCAGCGCACCAGCCTGGCAACCCTACAACTTCGCCAGGTCCCCTTTCCACCCAAAAACCAACTCAGCAAAGCCCCCCTACTCGTATACATTATCGCTGTCATGGCCGCAGTCATGGCTTCTGCTCCACCTTAGACATTTTTATATGTATTCAACATCGTTGTCGTCGTCGTCCTATGGCAGCTTGCTATCTACACTTTGACTCCACTGCACCCTATACACACACAGATACGCCATCCACACACAGATACACACATTGATAGACGACAAGGATGGCATTATACTACATATAGCTTAGAGAAACTGAAAGAGAGAGAGCCCAGAGTTCGTGTCGCCTTCGCCTGCTAAAAGCTTTGCACGAGTTCAGGAATGGGTCATGCGCCTGGAGCCCGCATCTAACATATATAAAATGGATATATAAACAGTTGGATATGTACATATATGTATATTCTATAAAGAGCAGTAAATAAGCTGACTACCATGTACTCGTATTGGTTAAGTAAATAAAAAACAAATGGTTCCTTAGCTTTTGTGATATTTCACATTAAATTCGAACCCAATTCACACAGAAAATATCCCTTACATGTTTGCTTCCTTGGCCTTCCACTAAACAATGTCTAGCAATTACTTAAAATAATCCTTTTCCTTATGCTTGTTTGATCAAATCTTAAACGAAGCGCATCCCTCTCTCTGGTTCTAACTCTGATCCCACAAAAACCCTTTAACTGTTTGTGTGGATGGGGGTTAAGCATTGATTGTTTGGGTTAATGTTCCACAAGATTTTCATTTCAGATTTCATGGAAATTTATTTGGTCATTTGTATCTTTGGATTAAGCTAAGAAAAGGAAAGAATCGACTATAACTTCAATGTTTAAGTTTTGTACATTTAAAATAAACTTGCGTTTAGATATCCACAAACATTGCAACGCATTTCTCGAAGGAATTCAACAAAAAATCTGTTCAAAATTAAAACTGAATCGTTACTACAGTTTTCCATTTTCCATAAATCATGTGTACACTATACCGATCAGGCTGGACTAATGAATATCTTCATAAATCAAAACTCGAAAATCGCTTTAATTTTTTGGCAGGCATTTTTTGCTTAACAATTTCCGCTTGGAGGGAAATATTATTGTGCGTTACTTTATTGCTTGAAAAGTTCAAGCGATGTCATTCAAAAAGTCATAAATAATAATGTTTTCCAATAAATGTTCACATATGAGTGGGCACACAGTGAAGTGAAGGACCCAGGCACACATCGAGGACGGTGGACAAGTGCAGGAGTGTACGTTCAATCCCAATCCCATTTGGTGCTTCAATGGAATGACCGTTCATCGTTGAACCTTGCCTTGGGTTGACTTTTCCCCTTCTCTCTTCCGAATTCTTTTTGGCGCCCAACTCCTGTACCCAGGGTCCCTCCGATGGTCTCATAAGTTACAAGGTCATTTCATTGCACGCAACCATTAAGGGTTTTGCCTTTATTTTTTGTACAAGAGAGAGATATTTCTGATTTTTTGCTGTTTTATAATTTAATACTCGTGTGTGACGAATTTTTATGGCTGACAAATGATTGATGCTCTTCTGCCACTTCCTGTAAATATCATTAAAATTATCCTTACGAGGGTGAGGTCGTCTCCAAAGAGGCTTAAAGTTTTCTCTCGTTACCAAAGACCATTCCCGAACAATAGCTGGCGGGAAATTCTTAGTACTGCCATGGAGGGTAAAGTGCTGAAATGCAGGTTTAACGCAAAAATAATACGAAACAAGATTAGATAGCATTGTGTCTTGAAGCAATTCTCCTTTGCGGGTGGTCTCTGCTCTCAGAGTTGGGGTGTTAACCGAAAAGAAAAACAAATAATGTTACAAATTGCAGCATTTGCACCCCTTTCACTTTGATAGGGAACAGTGTGACAAAAGGGGTTTAAAATTGATGTCAGTTTAATGGAATTTATGGAAATTGCTTTGTGCCTAATTTGGGCCTCGCTTGATTTCCAAAACCGTCCTTGTTATGCATTAAAATTTTTAAAATATATTAACTCCAGAATCCCTCAAAACTTCCATCATGTTTAGCCCACTGTGCCAAGGAGGCAGCGAAAACAAAAAATTGTAAAATCCAAACTCTTCCGCCGCCCCAAAAGACCACAAATCACAGGGAAATGCAATAACAAAGGGAACCCTCTGGCCATTGCGGTGTGTTCAAGTTATTTGCGGTTTATGTCCTTGTTGTTGGGGGCTCCTTTATTCATGTCGCTGAGGCGACAAAAAGGACCTTAAAGCCAATAAAACGATTTTTTCGCCTCTATCTATGAATTGTAAATACTTTTGCCGAAAAGGACAATTGAAGTGGTCGCGTCCGGTGACAGCTTTGCCTGGATCTCAGCGCCGTTTGTTCCCTTCGCGATTTAAGATAATAGTATCATCAACACCACTTCAGTACGGACCCAGAACCCAGCATCACTCCTGAGGACAAGGACCAAGGGTGTTGGACTTGTCTGGGTTCCAGGGTCTAAGGATTTACTTTGGTGTAGGCGTTGTTTGGGCTCTGCCCAATGGCTTCGGGATTTCCACTACGGTCTTCGATGATAACAACTTTGTTGGCTAATTTGCATGGGCCGTCCTCTGAGGCGGTGAACTGACAAGAAAACTTAAAGCATTTTCACGTTGTTTTGCCATCGACTGACAGATTTTTCACGCACATTTAAAAAACATTTAAAAAACCATTAAATGTTTTTTCAACAGTTATTTTTTTTTTGTCGCGCCATTGTCTGTGCGTCACACCCTCCATTTTTTTGGGGAATTCCTACTTTTATTTTTTTTTGTACTTTTTATTTGTTTTGTGCAGGGGTTTCCAGAACATTTCTGCCTTGGCGGCGCTCTCTAATCTTTGCGCCATTTATTTACACTTGATTAACACGCGGGTGACATTTGTTTGACTTTTTCTTCTCTCCGTTCAAATTAAAATGCGGGACTCGCGCTGGGACAAAAAAACATAAATGCAAAATGGGAGGGCGAACCGAAGTTTAAAATACTCTTATGGGAATGGTGAACACATCGATGGGGAAAAATAATTCTAAAAGCATTCAAAGATAATATTTCATTAATTAATTAAAATAATTTATTAATTCTTTAAAAAACATGGCCAATTCCGTTCTACATTAAACCTTATATCCCATAAAATGAGACATTTCGGATTTTTCATTTAAGGTGACTTTTCCACTGCAAGCTTTATCACAATGCATTCTTTGAGGGTATTCAAAAATATCTATAAATAAACAAAGTCAGTCCCTTGTGTGTCACATTTGCTGTGTGGGTTGCCTTTTTGGCTTTTGCTTTTTTATTCACAAAAATTATTCATTTGTTGAAAATTGTGACGTTGGTCGTGGGTCCATGGCCGCAGGCCAAACTGATTAATAAACCAAACGTCAAACGCGCACAATGGCCACGCATCAACGGAGTCAAAGTTTGAGCACTAAAGTGGGACGGGGATATGGAGATGGACACAGAGCCACCACCCCCTGACATCCAAGTAGCGACCACAGCTGTCAACTGTGTGTCATATACAAATGTGACCAGACTCAGACACAGAGCAGGAGCAGAGCAGGATCTGGGGGGGTTGAGTCGGAGCTTCCTTGCAAGTGCAAGTAGGCCTCGGGTCGCATTGTTCTCGACTTGACTTCTTGGCAGGAAGTACAGAATCTATCTGATTCGTATTCCTTGTTGG